CCCTGGGCCCCCATGCCCCCCCCACCCCACCACCAACACCGCCTACCACTGTGGTATAATCCTTTCCGCAACAGATATTCACTACCATAAAACTAAACGCTAGCGTCATCTGCATGTCCAATGAAGTATGGCGTTTTTAAAATCATACATAGATCATTTAAGTAAAAACAGCAAGAGGCAAAAGAGTGATCCCTGAGGAAGACCACAAGTCAGTGATTGGAGCTGCGAGTCAGCTCCACTTTTTGTGATCTGTCAATGGGATGTCCGCATTTCGGACATCCCATCTATGGAAAAAAATGACCAAAATGGACATAGGTGTTTTTTCCACAGGACAGCGACGATGTAATGCTTATGTAACTCAAAGCTCCAACATTTTCCTCTTCCTAGGCGGTACGTTCACGACAACGTCAGGATTATACGGTGGAAACAACTCCTTAACGAACTCGACAGGCTTCAACAGCACACAACAGGTACGACTGACAGATTTTTTTTTTTTTTGGGATCCTCTTGCTGCTGATCGATTGCAACAGCAGACTTTCACCATGTTACATTTCAGCCGGGACACATTTGAGCATAAATCACTCTGGATGTCGCACGCCTTGTCCGCTGGATTACCTCCCGTACCGCCTCTCACATATGTCCTGTGGCACAGAGGGGAAAGCACATACACACAAAAGAGATGCTTGTCCAGATGTGGGAGAGAGCTGACATGTGTTCGCATTTATGTTTTTTGGAATCTGTGCGGTAAAGTAGCAATAACGGTGAAGGGCATATCTCATATTACTCCACCAGAATAGAAAAAAAAAAATCAAAACGTTGCCAGTTTTCCACCTAAGTACGCATCTCTTCACAGGAGTACCCGGGCTATCCTGCCTTTGGCCAGGGTCAGTACGCTCAGTATTACAACAGCTCGCCCTACACGTCGCCTTACATGACGAACAACAGCAGTCCCAGCACGCCCTCAACCACCACCACTTACACCCTACAAGAACCCCCAGCCCC